AAACTCTACCTGGGCCTGTAATGGAGCCCAATGAAAAAGAATGAGCCCATATGAGTTTTCTAGCTGTTGATTAGTCTAATCTACTTGTAAACATAATAGGACAAGTGTATATACAATTCCTCCCTAATTGAAGGGATCTTGAGTTCATTAACCATGTTCATATTGGCGGATCTCTATCTGTGAAAAAAACTTGTCCGTTCCTTCAAGATGACAACCTCTAGGACAATCGAGTTATATGCTCTAATAGTTAGCGTGTTCGAATGGAATTGATGCGATTGCGACTCACAACAAGGATTAGTCGAACCTCAACGACAGAAAGAAGATCTACCCAAAATTTTGAACCAGCGAATGATCAACAATTTCAAGGATTTGCGGGATGACGACACTCATGAGAACAAATGTTTTATGTGTACACATCAGCCATGCATCGCGAATCAAACCGGGTGACGGTCGCACAATCGGGTACCGAGGAGAGTACGTAGACGGTCCTAGTAAAAATCTATACCAGGAACATGGAACTAAGGGCAGGTTAACAAATGATAAGGTCTTAAGGTACAAAAAGATCTGGTTAAGGGCAATCAAGAAGATGTCTCCTCAAGGTTGAAGGGAGTAGTGTTTGGGATAATGATTAGGTCATAGTGATGTCTTCTTAAGCCATGAAAGTGTCCCCCAACGAATTGCAAACCTAAAATGTTCCTCACATCCCCCCCTCTCTGCCCCTCCCTTTTGCATTGCTTCCTATCTACTCTTCCTCATGCATGGTCACTAATTAGTATGGAGAATACAACACTGCAGAAAATGCTTTTCTTGGGTCCCCCTTCAGAAGCCCCAATCTAAGGGTGCAATCACCCTACGAGCATGTGAACTAATAATTGAAAGGGGGCCATGAATTGTTGAAAGGGGTGATACAATGAGACCAAAGGAATGATGATGATCCATGGGCCCCGACTTGTTTACTGATCAAGGATCCGACAGAATTAGCGTACTTCTTATGGGGTGTTTTGGGGGGGAAAAAGCTGGTATAGTCATTATAACGACCGAATCCAGCTATGGATTCAGCACTTTCCGAACAGCAAGCTCACAAGGTCGTGTTTCGTGTGTCCCCCACAGAGAGTTGAATCATGCATGTCGATGACTAAAGTCCTTGCCGATGGTTGACCCCGCAACCGTAGAGGATTGAAAAAAATAGGAGAAGTTGTAAATATTAGGAAGAAGAAATACAGAAAATGAACGAGTTTTCTAATTGTTATTTTGTTCTGGATTTTCAATGTACATACTAGGGGTGAGTAAAAGGAACTGCCCGGAGTGGACCGAACCGATTGGTTCTGGGTGGTTCCCGAGGGCATCGGTCCAGTTCTCGGTTCTAATGTTGGAACCAATGATTTTCAATCCGGTTCCCAATTCCATGTGTGGAATCGCCCATTCAGACTGAATCAATTTTTTTAATTTCTTAGAAATCTGTAAAAACTAAAAAGCCCTAATCACATTCTTCATCTTACCATCTCCTCAACTCTTACTAATACCCTCTGCTCTAGGGGTGAGCATGGTCCGAGTAGACGGTTCCCATCCTCGAATCGGAAACCGCCTACTAAGGACAGGTTCTGAAAAATTGGAACGAAAAACCACCTGTTGGTTCTATGTATTTACTGGGGAACCGGCCCCAATCTCTACAAAATTGCATTCATCAATCAATACCATGGTTGTAAACCGGTGTGTTCGGTCTTTGATTGATCATGGAAAGACAACCTTACCTATCGATAGCTATGCCTTGGAAATCTTAATGCCATAATGCCTTTCAATTGGTATATGCAAATCATATCTATTGATAGCTATACCTGGTTCGGTCTAGGTGGGCGGATCCATGCTTGGAACCGGGAACCGAACCGGGCCCCATGGGAATTGTCGGTTCTGAGCCGGTCCACTCCGGTTTCAAGCAGTTTCCGATTCCTTTGCATACCCCTATTCTGCTACTAACTCTTACCCTCTACTTGCCTCGCGTTGCTCATTCTTTCACAAACCGTTATCGCATTCTTCATCTTCACGACTCTTACCTTCTACTCGCCTCTTCTTTGCAGGTATTAGCTTTGCTCCCTCCTTCTCCTTAACCCCTGGAGCCATTGCTGCTTCCATCTTATCCTGATAAAAACAAAAGAAACACGAAAACCAGTTAACAACAGTCCTAATCGTGGTGGACATTCTTCGGCGAGCATGTTCCGCTACGCAAAACTAGCAATTGCCGATCGAACTAATCACATCGTAGCATCATAACTAGTAGCCAAAACAAACCGAGCTGCTTAGGAAGCATCGAAAGGCAATGAAGCGAAGAGAACTAAGTAAGAAAGGAAAGGCAATGAAGCATCGGAAGGTAAACTCGCACCACCAGTTCCATTGGTCCACTCGAGAACTGAAAACTAGTTCCAAGATTGGTGGCTGGTTCCTGGTTCCTGGGTGGGAACCGATCTACTTAGGAATCAATCACCCCTAGTACATACTGTGAATGATGGTGGAATTTGAAACCGAGTATTCTCTTTTTCATTTTAACCAAAATTTTAGTGCTCGAACCTTCGCCTCCTTTTAGAGGTCGAGATTAGATCTTGAAATGTTGTGTCTAGTATATTTCATTATAGTTCTAGGATGGAATACGGAATTCCTGACAAATAATGAGACTTGTGCAAGTGAGCATGATTTCACATATTAGTTCACGGAAAGATTTTTTTTTCAAATATGGGATATCCAAGCCTTTCAACTCAATTATTAGGATCGTCAAAATTGTTGATCAATTCTTGAGAATCAATTTATACCAAGGAGATCACAATATAAACTCCAAACGAAAATTTGTTCGACTGACCCACGAATTGCTTGATATCCAATTGTCATTTCATCTGACCAAATAAAAAAAATTGTCATTTCATCGCTATAGCCCGCAGTAAACAAGCATATAGCAAATGCAAAAGGTAAAAAGGAAAATAACTGAAGCAATCTCAAGTCTTAAATCGCTCGTAAGCTTATAATTATAGAGCGCCTTTCAAAATGGTGAACAAAATACGAGACATCCAGATCTGTTTTCTCAAGAATTAATTGCGAGCAATCATGGAGGACATGCTGGATTTTCGAAGAACTATCGAGTGAGATGTTTGTCTTAATCATAATTATCACATCCAGCATTATGGTGCGATTTAGCAAGACACATGATGATTATGGGGCTGTTTAATGCTGTGTTTTGCCTTCTCGGCAAATTATAATTAGCACGCACATGCTTGCATTAAGGAGGTAAAGAAAGAAAGAAAGAAGAAGAATCCGAGGCACGTTGATTTGAAGGCAATCTCACCATCTCTTTCTTAGTGTTTAAGGATTTACTGAAATCCCACCAAACACGATTTGATGTTCGTGGTGGGAGGCAAAGAGCCTCGAGCCCTTCCATCGATTACGTTTTGGTCATTACGACCACCAACGTTTTGCTTCCTTAAAAGGGTAAATAGCTCTTGGAAGAAAGGGTGGTGGCAATTGGCGTGTTAAGGATAGGGCCACCAACCAAACATAATGTCTCGGTCTGTGGGTATTAATGTCTTGAGGAGATAATCTTGGGGATTTACCATATAATTACGCTTGTCTTTGGCTCGGTAACGATGCGAAACATTGATTAATAGATCTGTTGAGATGTACGAACGAGTTGTGTTGAAAAAAGTCTAACATCGGAAAATTTGTGCAGTGTGAAGTAATTAATATATCCAGATTGGCTCATAACTCATTGGCTTAAGTTTTTAAGTGAAAGTAAGTCCAACCGAATATATTGACAGGCTCGGACTTGGACTTTCTCTCGGCGATCTTCCCAGGTGAAGGTATCAATCTTCTGCTGTGATCTCCCAACAAGACTAACACCACACCTGATAAGGGCTCCAATGGAAAATGCTAATGTTGTTGCCTGATGATTGAAGTGACTGGACCAACATTAAAAACTTCACCTACTTTGCCTGTGCATCCTCTCGTGGTCACGGTCGCCATCAGGCTCTATCCCCATACCACGTCCTTACTGTGGTCCTGACAGTCTAAATTATCGACGTATTCCGGTCGCAAGAACTCCAAGCAAATAAAAAATCTGTGCGAACCGGTGGCCGGAACAATCGAGACATCATATGGTGAAAGGGACGTATTCTCCTTCTTGTCGTGTTCATCGGAGATTAGTCGGGTATTTAAAGTATAAACTGGACACCTAGTCTTGAAAGGCACCGTTGGGAAGATTCTTATTGCAGAAAGTGGTTTTGGGTCCAAGACACGTTTCACATCCATTTCCATTCTTTACAATGCCCGCTTGTGCAATGAAAATCGTCATTCTGCACAGCAGCTGTTCAATACGAAAATCTTGTACGATCTATGGGCCTTTGAAAGAGCAGTCCACAGAAGCGAAGACATCCAGCCCAACTCTCTAGCGAAGTGCCAGAAGTGAGCAAGCAATCTCTCTCCTTTCTTTTCTTCTTTTTCTGGAGTGATAAGCGCTAATTTTCATTAGCAAAACAGACATTCCACGGTGCAGATTACAGTTTGATTAACTGTCTTATAAAAAAATTTATTATGCAGGATTTGCCATCAAGTGGAGATGGCCGAGTTGGTCTAAGGCGCCAGATTAAGGTTCTGGTCCGAAAGGGCGTGGGTTCAAATCCCACTCTCCACATCTTCTTGTCCCTCCATCCTTTTGGCCTTTTTGCGATTTTCAATGGTGTCGTTCGTCTGCAACACATTCTTTTCGTAAGTTTCTCACCCTGTACAATAGTGAAAGACAATGGACTCTTGATCTAGCTTTGATTTAACTAGTGTTGTCCTTTTGATGTGTTATGAAGAAGAACAAGATCGAGAGCGGTCTCCGCTAAACAAATCGGAAATTGCCAAAAGATTAGCATGGATAACCTGAAACATTTTCTTAGTCTCTGCCGATCTTCCATTTAGCTTAAGGACCCATAAAAGATAGAGCGGCGAATGAATAGTAGTCAGTAATGGTGAATCGGTGATGGGAAAAAACTATAAAGTGAAGCCCAGCTTCGCAAGACCATAATGGGGCCACCCAGCAAATTAGAGTTTGTATGAGGAAACGCAATACATTGTTATAGAACAGAATGTCACCTAAACCAAAACGGGCTAACGAAGTTCCCTTAACGACTTGTTCGACTCAGCAAGGAATAATTGAAATCCTCAGGAGCAGACCCACAGAACTTGTAGTGTTTTGATAACTTTGCATAAGCACGCGTCTTAATTAACCGGTCAGGTCGAATATCTTTAGCTGTCCTCTCCTCCTTATTTTTTTGTTGCACTTCAATACGGCTCCCGCAAAGTTGGTATTTTTTCTCCTCTGCTCAACAAACACTACACTAGCTATCAAAGAATAAAGAACTGCGTTGAAAATGGACTTTGGCTGCGTATAGTCGTACACTCTAAAAGACTTGTCTGATGTTGATGTTGATTCTTGAGCTTCTGAGGTACTCCAGCAGAAAACAATCATCTTGACGCGAAAAATGCAACTCAAGCGGAGTGATCTCGGCAGTATCTTTGTCTGTAAAGATCCGGGGAACACCTGCATAGGAAAAATATAAGTAGATGCAGAGAGTTAAAAGAGAGAGCCCGAATAGCATTGTCAGATAACCGAAAAATGTATACCAATTACATAGATGCTGAGATTGGTATGACCTACTACTTCGAACAAGAAAAGGCAAAGTGTGGTCAAACGTTACAGGCAAGGCACGCCATGAACACGAGGAATCCAGCACAAAATAAGAATACAATGTTTAGAACCAAGGAAAACTTAACGTCGCATTTTCTCCTCTCTGTTTCCAAATATATCATAGGAATCGCCAAGTGGCTAAATCATTCGTTAAAAAATGTCTCTTACAATTATTTAGACATGCCAAGGCTCTGAACAAGCAATGAGAAGGATAATCATTAAGCCAGACTAATAGCTCCTTAGATTAATACAAACATTGTAGAGTAATAATTAGTGTAGACAGGAAAGAGGGGGTAAGGAACTTCCCACTACCAACACATTGGAGTTAGTAATCTTACATCTGAATATATAATACACCGAAGAGTAATAACCAGTGTAGATTAAGTATGTTTGTTTTGGAAAAATCAATGATTTGGAAAACATTTACTTAAAATATCATTTACAAAAATGAATCAAAGAAAAACATTTTCTTAATCACCCAAAATGTTTAGGCATAGATTGTGGTTAAATGGATGATAATGATAATGATAGTGTTTTCCACTGACTAATTTTTTTAAATGATAAAAACAACCATTTTTAGGAAAAAAGGTCTCCAGTGCGCTAAGAATCAAATTCAAGAGCTTCAACATCTTAATTGGGCATAATTTTATGGCAACGAATAAAAGCTAGGAATAAAGCTACCAAGGAACTTGTACCATGAAAGCATTCCCTTGCTTCTCCGGCCATAAGTACAACATCACCACTTCGAAGAAACATTGCTATAGGATTGTCCTGTCTAGTCTTCCCTCCCAAAAGAAAGATAGCTTTGCATCCCAAACTGTCAGAGAAGTACATATATTGTTAGATTCTCGAAAAAAATTACTCCATCCTCTTTCTTCTTCAAGCAAACTAGAGAGAGGTGGGGAAAACATGATGTACCTCAGGCTAACTATAGGTTTGCTCCAGTCTGCTTCCATGTCATCAAGGTGACCACCCAAAGTATCACCTGAAAGAAAAAATACATGTAAATACCAGATTAGTTATGATTTCTGAGATCATTTACTAGAAAAAGAATTACAATCCTTGATCCGATGAAAAAAGAGAACAACAAGTGAATGCGAAATTGAACGATAATATTATGTACAAGAACAGCCATCAGGGCCACTACAAACTGTTAGGGTGCAGCTGATGACCCAAGACAAGTGTTATGAGTTCTGCTGACATTGGGACTGGCTGACACTGGTCCACAAAGTGGCCAGGTGCTGGATACAGCAGTTTCAAGTTTTAATAGGGCGGTTGCAGCGAGCGGCCTCTACCTATTAGGGGCGAGCAAGAGACATTATGGAATTATCCTGATTGGGAAGCTTCTTATTCCAATAAATTTTTATCCTAGTACTCATAAAATAGATTGTAATGTCTAAGCCATGAAATTACTCATCCTCAGGCTAGTTTGTATCTGATAATGTATCATTATAGTTGGCATAGATGGTTAACTAATTAAATTTTCATTGTTTATTGTAAAATTCTAACACTCTGCAGTTTGCACAATCACTCTCCTATCTTACTTCCTTCGATCTCTCCTCTTTAAGCATGACCTTAGGGTTTACATAATAAAAGTGTCATGTCATTCAATTCCAATTATTTCCGTATGTGAGGTGTGATTGATTAACGTCAACATAATTCCCACTTAACTCAACTTGAGGCAGTTACGATGCTCAACTCTAGCTTGATCGAACGTTATTCTTTTCCAAACACCAGCTTGATTGAAGGTAATGCTTCATAAGCTCAAGCTCAACTGGACTAAACTCTATCATCAGAAAGTAAATTTTGATCTAAAAGTTACAGTACAACCTTATATATCCTTCTCACTTCTATCTATGTAAATAACAATTTACACATGCAGAATTCAACATCTCTATTAGGCTTACGAGCAGAGTCGAGTATTGTCAAGCTTGAGCTTGATGTGTCCAAACGCTCCAGCTATTCCTATTTAAACTCGAAAAAATTTAAGCGGAGTTGTTCGAACAGTTTATGAATCAAACTCGAGTAGTTTGACTCACTTTCGATCTGATTCACACATCCATTCTCTAAGTTCATAGTTCATTTGAAACATTGTCGACTTTCAATATTACCAACGCAACAGAAATCAGAGAAAAGTACCTGATGCAAAGTAATTCACTATTGCAGCTTCAGGTCTAAATTCTTCTCCCCTAGGCATTGCTGGAGTAGCCAGTCTTTTAGCCAGTTGACAGAGTGCATCGGGGATCTTATTGTGTGGAAGAGACACATCATAGTTCCGCTACATCGTATAGAAAAAGCTACTTACAGATCAAAAGCATAACGCTGGCCAGATTAATTCCTATAATGCAAAAGAGATGGCAATAGAAAACGTTATGCAGCCATAAGCATGTAAATCTTTAGCCACTCATTTCCCTTTATTTACCTGAGACCAGTCAAACTGAAGGCCAAGGGTACTCCATCGTAGCTTCCGTAAAAGAGCAGAGGCCGGATACGATGTGCAACCATTTCCTCTCAATGGAACTTCAGCTTCATCAACGAATTTCCAAGTGGGACGATCTCCATCACTCTCGTCTTTGACCAAAACCTTCCTCTCTTTTGCAGCGGCAAAGAGATCCTGTAGAGGGCCATATATTGCATTATGATTCGATCTATTAGGCGGTTGCGGGAAGCTGAGTAAACTCTCCCTCATCCATTGGCACTGTTCTTCTAGACTCAATGCCCCGGGAATGAAATAAAATCCTACATTGTCACGACAAAGTCAAAAACCAAACGAAAAGGAGAGAAGCATATCGATATCTATACAACCCTTCGAAGGGTCTTGACCCGGCGCAGATCGGAAGACAGTCCCAACACTGATCAGCAACTGAAGTTCGCGCATGCTAATTGGCAAATGGTATTCTATACATAAAGAAAATGGGTTTTCCAATTGCCACACGTAAGACTACAAGCTAAACCTCCCCATTTCCCATAGGACAAGCACGTGCAAAAATTCCCAATTCAGGATGAGAAACTTCAACCAGCTAAACAAAAACCGATAAATGCGAAGCAGGCAGTGGACAGCAGCAATTACCGGGCCGACCCTCTAAGCAGAACACGGGCCGACCGAAACCGCACCGAACCACCGCGACGCCGACCGGAAGCTCACCGCCCCGCTCGTGCGCCTCCGAGATGGCCTCGAAATCGATCACGTCCGATACATCCACGGGTTTGGCCCGCTTCTTCCTAGCCAAAGAAAATCACAATACACCAGGCGCGCGAAACCGTGAGACACTCCAAAAAAAATCAAATCTTTATCCTCCATGAGAAGGTTACAGAGAGAGAGAGAGAGAGAGAGAGGGGTGATTACTTTCTCGATGACTTGAGAGGACCGTCGTCGTAGTAGAGCTTGTACTTCTTCTCGGCTTGCCTGAACGCCGTCCGCTCCGACTCGCCGCCGGGAGGCTTCTCCGCGCCGTACATTTTCCGAGCGGGAAGCTTCGATTCCGCAAAGCGAGTCTTGATGAGTGAGAGAGAGATCGATCTTCTACGCTGACTCCATTGTCAGGGTTTTCACGCAGCTCTTTCCTCTTCGTTTTCCTTGGATGCCTGGGTTGTTTTTTGGATGGTTTTCCCAATTTTTTTTTCTATTTGACAAATTAAATTGAAGCAAAAAAATAAATAAAAATAAGGGAAATTTGCAAATAATGACCTGAAATTGAATTTATTTCGGATAAGGACCAAAAGTGCTCTCATTTTCTCAAATTAAGGCATGAACTAAACTTTGTTTCAAATAAGGTTCAATGTAATCCATGAATTTTTAACGTATTTAATGCGTTTCCTAAACATTTTATATATGTTCAATGTAAAAATGTTCAGTTTAGTCCATCCCTGAATTATATGAAAATGTTCAGTTTAGTCACTGAACTTGAATTAATGTAAGAACTACATTGAACATTTTCATATAGTTCAGGGACTAAATTGAACATGTATCAAAAGTTCAGGGAATACATTGAACAAATTAAAAGTTCAGGGACGACATTACACATTGAGTTAAATTTCATGGACAATATTGAATAAATTAAAATTTCGGAGATAACATTACATATTAGGTTAAATTTCAGGGACCACGTTACATATTAGACCAAAGTTCAGAACTGTTTGTATCATTTTCCATTTATTTGATTATGCTTTTAATTCTGGGCTTGGCTACAAAAGCGAAAGAGCCCAACCAGACTTCCTAGCTTGGCGGGCCCAAATGGACCCGGGCCGGACTATCCATGGAAAAATAGCCCGAGCGCGACTCGTCCAATTAATCGCGGCATCGAGGCCAGAGGGGTCGTCGCGCGTAGAATCGAATCTCAACTCGCTCAAGACACCCTCGCCGTGGCCGCCGCCGCCGCTGCCGGTCCCGCGCTCGCCTCCGGCCGCCATGTCTCAGGTACTCTTTCCCCGACTCAGATCCATCTTGGACTCCATCCTATCTCTCCTCGACGGAGCCCTTCGTATCCGTTTGCGGTCGCCGGAATCCACGATTCCTGTCTCGGCCGGATATGTGCTTGTGATCGGTGTCGAAGCGTGTTCATGTGGTGGGTTGTGTTGTTGTTGTTGCAGGTGGACAACAGGAATTCTTCCGCCGCCAAGCGTGCTCGAACCGACGGTAAACCCTCTCATCGTTCTCTTTCTGCGGTGACAATTTTCTTTTTCCTCTTTTGTTTTTGGTATGGGGTAATTTGAGCCGGTTCAGGACGAAGAAGAAAGATGATTGATTTAGAGAAAAGGAAGTTTCTTTTGTGAATTTGATGGCGTAATTTATGTTGTTTGCATGGATAGAATTCTGATTTTGACCTACTAAACGTTCTTTCGACAAAACCGGAAATTGGGACAATAATCGACAATGGCGACGTTATCGAGATCAAAACGGGACCAAGAAGTAGGAAGGAGGAAACCCTTAGGCCAGTCTAAAGGGGAATTCTGATGTAATTAGAAATTCAAAACATGATTTTTTTCTGTGTTGATATCATTGGCTTAACTTACGGTTAGGAATAATTATTATTGTTGGTCCTCAGAGAATAGATAGGACATGCTTCCGCTTCCTTCACTGTTCCTGTTAAATCTCCGTGTCGATATGTTGATTAGGGTAAATTTGCAGGTAGTCGGAGGGAAGATGACTGGACTTGCCCTAGCTGTGGGAATGTAAACTTTTCATTCCGGACAACTTGCAACATGCGTAATTGCACTCAACCAAGGCCAGCTGATCATAACTCGGTAAAATTTGACTGTTTGTGATGTAAATTCTCTTGATAGCTACATGCTCATTTGATAGTTATGGCCACACTCGTGAATATAACACTTAAGTATTATTGTGCTTGTTCCTTTCTTCCCCCTTCAAGATTTTCTATTTGACACTCGATATTCCATTGCTGTGATTCAATGCTAAATAGGTTGTTTGTTTTGTGTTTGTCAAATGTATTTTGTTTGAAAATATCTCCCTGCTAATTTTTGCTTGTTTAAATTAGTTTCGCGAATTCATATACTAGCTTTGTGCATTTCGTGTGCATTATAAAATAGGAGATGGGGCTAGTATGTCGTGTGTCTCTATATCACGATTAATTGTTCTTGTCTTTGTTGGAGGTTAATATCTTTCTTTCCACCAAGATCCCCACAATAATAAACTTTTGTGCTCAAGTTTAATAAGTTTACGTTTCCTAGGCTGGATCCACATCATCATCCAAGTGACTTGTCTGGTCAATGGTTGCTGTTGCTCTTAGATATGTAGTTCGAAATTAACTATATTTCATTCTAACACTGTTAATCTTAATTTGAGTGTTTGGGGTAAAAATGTCATGAAATTATGTTTTAGCTGCCTTTTTCTAATCAAAAGGCAGCTCAAAGAGACTGAGAGTGTTTGGATTATGTGGTACCAAGGTGGTTTGGGATACCATTGCATGCATAAGAATTCTTTGCTCGGAATTTTTAGTTGCTAATCGAAATATATAATTAAAATGGAGGCTCGTATGCTTTGTAAACCACATTCCCAGGTGAAAAGCTAATTAACAATCAATGCACATGATTAGTGATACATTTTCTAAATTTATGTCTGCTCTGCCATCTTTTGGCAATATAATAATCCAAATGTGTTATTGCTAAGATTTTTTGTCTTCTTTTTTTCCTCAGAAGTCTGCGATGAAGCCAGTGCAGCCTCCTCAGAGTTACTCGTCACCATCCCCATATATGGGTGCTGGGGGACCTTCCTCAATGTATATGGGAATGCCACCATATGGTTCTCTCTTTAATGGTTCCTCAATACCACCATATGAAGTCCCATTTTCTGGGGGCGCAGCTTATCACTACAATTATGGTGGTCGCCTTTCTGCTGGTAGTCCTTATAGACCACTTCATCTATCTGGAGCGGCACCTTATTCGAGTGGATCGATGATTGGAAATGGTAATGATTATTTTGATTTTGCTAGGACTTTGGTTATTGTACTGACTGCTGGGTAGCGATTAGGATTCTAAGTCTCGAATGGTTAAAAGATCTTTGCCTCTAAATGATATGTGGCTGTCTTTTTAATATCGTTTGGCCAGAGTTTTTTGGTTTTCATCTTTCACTTTGAACATCTTTTGTTGAATGATTTTCCACATTCTGAGCTAAATCACAGATAAGTGGAATTACATGAGAGAAAATGGAAAGCAGTAATTAACACTGCTTGTGTATTGTCTTAAGGAAGTGTCCACAAGATCCTGTATAATTGCTGATTGTTAAGCTTGTCGGTAATGGCTGCCTTTTGTTGTTTCTCAGGTGGAATGTATGGGATGCCTCCTATGATGGACAGATATGGCTTGGGTCTTCCAATGGGCCCTGGTGGCATGGTCAATGTGAAATTTCTTTCTTTATTCGGATGTTGCTGCCTTTTCCTTTTCACTCTACAACTACGTTATTCAGTATTGCTCTTTCAGATATTATGCATGTCATTGTTCTGATATTTATTCTCTCAGGGACCACGGCCGGGATTTTACTCTGATGATAAACTTCAAAAGAGGGGGGCAGGTTTGTATTCCATAGCCGGATACTGCTTTTTAAATCAACAATAGGAATACCAGTTCATCTCCCACTGACATTATATTTCCTTTAAATACCTTGTAGATGCAACACGTGATAACGACTGGACATGCCCGAATTGTGGAAATGTTAACTTCTCTTTTAGAGAAGTATGCAACATGAGGAAGTGTAACACTCCAAAGCCTGGATCGCAGGTTTGTGTTGCTTTGGCTAACAATTTAGCAGTTTGAGGAGATTGAACTTTGTGGCTTTGATTTACGTGTTTGTTGTATTCCCGAGTTATAATGTTGCTCTTGTCAATTTATTTTAGCTGAAGAGTGTTTATCTTTAAATTAAATTAATGGACTTTTTTTCTCTTCAACTACAGGTTCCAAAATCTGACAAAAACTATAGTAAGTTATCACTGCTGGCCATGTTGCTTGCCTCATATTTCTCTATACTGGTACTCATATGTAAAGTTGCTTTCAGAACAAAAAATGCCTGAGGGCAGTTGGAAGTGTGAGCAATGCGGTAACATAAACTATCCATTCCGGACAAAGTGTAACAAACAGAATTGTGGCGCTGACAAACCATCTGAGGCGGAGAAATCTCTCCCTCCAGCAGAGGATGAAAATGATCAGGTCTGTTGTGTAATGTGCTCCCTGTACTTTCGCTCCCTGAATTTATTGTTGTTTCTCTCAACTATCTGTACAATTATCAATAAACTCAGTGGAAAAATAATAAACAGCCATGTTAAGTCAGTATATGTTCATGAAGTTTTTATCTTCGATTTGTTTTATAGTATGACTTCTTTCGTGCATTCATTGATAAGCAATTGTCTACTGTTCCAGTGAGTACTAGGACATATTTGAGGGTTGAGAAGGTCCAGGGTTGTCGTCCAGCTTTGCTACAATGTGGGTGTCTGAAAGTCAGTCTTGTCGTCCTCATGTTGCAGCGGTTGTCAAGTCACTCTACCCTCTCATAATTCGTGTCAAGGTGGTTGTATCAAATGATGGTTTATATGGTCTTTATGGATCCTTCAACTGCATTATCTGTCAGCCAGCTTGACTGGCAAGGATTATTCAGTTTGGTTTTTGTTTAATACTTTAGGCTCTTGAACTGCAAGTGAGTCATCTTTTCCAGCCAGTAAGTGTTATGTGCATCTACAAAGTTAAAAAAATGCACGGAAATCTCTGGGACTAATGTTTCTGGTATCATGTGTTTAAGTTGTCACCGGGTAGCGGATGATCCAAGGAAAGAGAAAAAGAGATTCTCGGCAAAGGTGAAGTAGAATTGTTCCAAATGCTTTTGCCTCTATGGGCAGAGGTTCTCAAGTCCGGTTTTTTTCTGTTGACTATAAGTTGACAGTCCTAATCTTTTACGTATTATGATTTGGCGTCAGGTATTCCATTGAGAGTTCTATTTCACGCTGAATGGGTTAGATCCACTTTATATGGACATAGAGCAATGTTAGGGATACGAAGTATTTGCTAAATATTCTTTACTAAATGACGTGCTGGCACATATGACATTCTTTAATTGTGAATTGCCAAATATTTAAAGAGT